ATATATATATATATATATATATATATATATATATATATATAAGGCATATATAATTTTTTTTCGTTAACAGGAAGACTTCCTCATGTTCGACAAATGTGGTATTGTGCATGCGATGTGAAGCTTCCAGTTGCTGAAGAAATATTAAAGAGACCGATTTTCGTATTGGGCGAAAAAGCTCATCCTCAGAATGGCTGGTTACCACCGGTAAGTTTTCTAGCAGATTCCAAATCGCATATTTTTTTGCTCACTTTCTTTGACATTAGATGAATTTGTTCAGAAAGCCATCGATCAGATTCGCGAGGCAATAAAGCAAGATGTGTCAAAGATAACTAAGCGAATGGATGAAGAAGAAATGAAAGAAGGAATTGAAGAAGCATGGTGGGGTGAACCTCTCAAATTTTGATGATTTCGAAGAAAATTTCTAGGGAAATCACAATTCAATTAATATTAAACTATTCCAGATTAATTGTTTTCTGTACTTCACTTATTCTTTCACATTATCCATGCCAATAATAGCAGTTGGAAGAAAATATGTACAATGTTCCTGTTTGGCAAAGCTTGAGTGAAGTGTTTGAATAAATTGTTTAAATGCTGGTTTCAATTGAATATGAAAATAAAAAGGGTTGCTATGACCAGAGGTCTCTGTTCGGAAAAATCTGTATCCTTGCTCACTTCTAATTTGTTTCACTTTCATTTATAAGCATATATATATGGAGAAAAGTGACAAAGTCTAGTTATATTATTCTGTGTTTCTTGTAGTCAGGTGCCTGTGCAGACTTCATGAAATGTCAATTATGAATGTTGCTTTCATCAAAGTTTTCCTTTATATGCATCATGCTAAAATAACAGTTTGTTACTCGGTCGTTAGTCGCGGGTGATTTTCTTTTAGTGAGATATATTGTAGCGTAATATAATGCTTCGAAGTATCTATCATGCAGATTGGAAGATAACTATTTTCTAAACTACGAGATAACATGATAAATTTGAGTACAAATGTGTTTAGTTGTTCAATCTGTACTGTCATAGTTATCTCAGAGCTGAAGTAACTAGTTAAAATAATTGCCTTCTTTCACTCCTGAACCTATTCAAGCAACATAGCGCGATGAGAAAACAGTGGGATCGGCAGGTAGTTCCATTATGTTATGATACTTTGAGTGTGTTAAAAATTCTTCAGTCTTGGGTTTCTTGTGCAAGTGGTGTGTTCTTAATGTTATTTTGTGTTCCCAGTCGACATTTTGTTTTTAAACTAAATGGAAGCTGTATTTGAGTTAACAGAAGTCAATATGTTGCCGGCAAATTGTCCTCATATCTTTTTCTGAGTAATTCAGCATTACTTTTATGACTCGTATTATTGCATTTACAGCTACTGGAGGTTTTCTTATTCTTGCATCACATGTCACTTATTATTATTTGTAAATATGTGCTTATGTGAGACGAAGAGAACTGTTAGCTTCATTTCAGTCTGTAAGTGTGGTAATTGATAAATTGGAAAGTATTGAATTTCGTTCACTTTTATTTGTTTATTACTTCATCTCTCTTCTCAACTATGATTCATGTTTAATTTTGTGTGGTTTTTTAGTGTCGAACTACTAGTGATTTTATAGTCAGGTGGTGAAATGATGCTGTGATCATTTCAGAAATCTCGGAATGGTTGAGCATACAGCTATAGTCATTGATGATGAAAAGGCTAGAGCATTAGGGAACTATCGCCGTAAGCTAATTGAATATCGTGAAGTTGAGGATCGTTTGAAACAGCTGAGAAAGAAATTAAGTTGTTTTTATTTGTAATTAAATTATCGGGTTGTCCTTATTGGACTGTTTTTTATTTTATTATTTTGCTGTTTTAGGGAAATTTAATGTTATCTATAATAAACAATTTTATCTGTTTTAGGAACAAGAAATGCAGAAAGAGCATGATAAATCAGAAAATGATATCAAGTCGCTGCAGTCAGTGGGACAAATAGTTGGTGAAGTGTTGAAGCAGCTAACGGATGAAAAATTTATTGTGAAAGCTACAAATGGTCCTCGATATGTGGTTGGATGTCGACGCTCAATAAATAAAGAAGCCTTAAAACAAGCAAGTCTACATTTAAAATGTGCATATATTTGTGAAAAAGTCGCTAGTTCTGTTACTTTCTTTGGTTTTTAATTCTTAGTTTTTTTAGATTTTGTAATCATTAGAATTGCAAGTTCTAGAAAGACTCAAAATTTCTACTCTTGCAATTTTTCAATTTGGTCCTGTAATTTAGTCAGCCCTCCAGACTACTGACAATATAATCAAATAAGAAATGACATGTATTGGTTGTATTTTATTCCATTACTGGTGTGTGTGTTTCAGGGTACTCGTGTTGCTTTAGATATGACAACGCTAACAATCATGCGTCAGTTACCGCGAGAAGTAGATCCGCTAGTATACAAGATGAGTCATGAAGATCCAGGCAATATATCATACTTCGAAGTTGGCGGATTGAGGGAGCAAATACGAGAACTACGCGAAGTGCGTTAATCTTTCGGAATCTTAGTATTAAAATGAAGCACTGAAAATGGAAAGAGCTGTATTGATTAGTATGGTTTACTGAGATTTTCTCATATTTTCAGGTCGTGGAGCTCCCTTTAATTAATCCTGATTTGTTCCGACGCGTTGGTATCACTCCTCCTAAAGGATGCCTTTTATATGGTCCTCCTGGTACAGGGAAGACACTTCTGGCTCGGTAATATATATATTTTTTGAGTACATTTTAATTTCAATTCATATGAATGATTCGGTGCTATTATATCTAAAACACATTTATGAAAAGAGATATATCTATCGTTGTTCATATTTGTTGCATTACAGAGCTGTTGCTTCACAACTAGAATGCAATTTTTTGAAAGTTGTTTCATCTGCGATAGTAGATAAATATATAGGCGAATCTGCACGAATGATTAGAGAGATGTTCAATTATGCGCGTGATCATCAACCTTGCATTGTTTTCATGGATGAAATCGACGCTATAGGTAAGATTCCACAAAGAAATTCACATTTAGTTTTAAGGATATAGCGCTATCCTTAGTGAATTATTATCAGTTAGTCCTTATTGATTGGAATGTGTTGCAAAAGAAAATGCTGAAACTGTATTTGATATATACACTGAAGTATTATGTCCATTCAATAAATGAACTAATTGATGAAATTTATCAATCGTAAAGGACCATAGACAAATGTGTTTAGTCTTCAGTTATGAGATTAGAATGCATTTGAGATTGACCTGTTGAACTCTGTATTTATTCATCTTAAATCAAATTGCACGCTTCAGTGAATAACCTGAGCAGATATATTTTACAAATCTTGTATTACTCCATTTTATCTGGAATGACGTTTTAAGTATTTTTTGTAGGTGGTCGTCGATTTTCGGAAGGCACTTCTGCAGATCGCGAAATTCAGCGCACTTTGATGGAGCTCTTGAATCAGATGGATGGGTTTGATTCTTTAGGAAGGGTCAAAATTATCATGGCAACAAATCGACCTGACACATTAGACCCAGCTTTACTAAGGCCTGGTCGTTTAGATAGAAAAATTGAAATTGGTCTTCCAAATGAGCAGAGTAGATTAGAAGTACTTGCGTTATGTTTTTTTTGTGTCAGACTAAGAGATGTTGAGGGCTAATAAAGCCTCTTAAAGATTCTATAGCTTTTATGAGTTTTTAAATTCTTACATTTTTCTCTAGTCATCGGTCTTGCTTGCTTATGTTTTGTGTAAACAATAACGGGTACTTCCACTGTGACTACAATTTTACTTATTTCAATAATATATTACAGTAACGAAATGCATCTAAAAACCTGTTTTAGAACGTATTTTCTAGGTTCTAAGAATTCATGCTTGTAATATAACCAAACATGGCGAAATTGATTATGAAGCTGTAGTAAAGCTTTCTGATGGATTCTCTGGTGCGGATCTTAGAAACGTTTGCACAGAAGCAGGTACTCCCGGTGATTTAATTAGTTCGAAGTATATTTAGTATGTGTGGATAAGCTTATGAAAATTAGATATAGTCTTGTCAAGAATTCAGCTGTCGTAAAGAAATTTGAATTTTGTGAAAAATTCAAACTTTAACAAATGTCGTTCAACGGTTGCTTAGAGGATGCAGTTTACCATTACTATTATAGGGCTGTTTGCTATTCGAGCTGAACGTGAATACGTTATTGATGAAGATTTTATGAAAGCGGTGCGTAAAGTGGGTGATGCGAAAAGGTTGGAAACAAAGCTTGATTACAAACCTGTATGATGGATCCGAGTTCAAACTGTTTAATAACGTGAAAATCAACGATAAGAAATATGAAAAGTTGTGCTGGAGAGGTCTGTAATACCACATGTGAGAGTGCTTCTTGACTTATGATGTTGGTTTCCTTCCACCCTTCTGATGAGATTTTAGATTTTATTACACAAATGGTTATTTTATTTCTTTAGAAAATTTATACCTCTATGGTGGGACATATTAGCAGTGCGATATGTCCCTTTACTTTTCTTTTCAGTTTTTCCCAATAGTAATTCATATAAAGTACCGACCTCTCCCCATGCTTAGTTCTGTTTGTTTTATTTTCTTTTGTTTTCGATTGAGACTATGTGATATCAAATAAATACAGATTTCATCTGTTATTCTTTAAAGAATTGATAATGTCAAAGATTAGTGCACGCTAAAAGTGAAGCTTATGTCACTGAAATGTGCGTTTTCTCTTTTTTCAAGAGTCGGGTTTGTGATGTCGTTTTAGGTTGTTCCGGTATTCGAGGTGAATTTCGATTAAAGAGCATGAGAGTCGAGTGATTTAGTTTTTTCAGAGTCCTAGTTTTGTGTGTAGTGAACAACTTCCGTTACTGCGATCACTGAACGAACTCTGGAGCTCCGTGTTGGTAGTTACCGTCTCAGTATTCCTGGGATTTAGAGTTCTTCGTAACGAGTTTGCGTTCTACATGCACTGTGTTGGTAGCTTCCGTGCTTCGCTCAATGGTCCCAAATCTCTACCCTTGGATATGCCAAAACTTACGATTTTGTAAATTGTTTCCTAAAGTCGAGATTTCTTCTCCAGAAACGAAGTAAACTGGAAAAGCGATTTAGTGTGTGATGTTATTAATAATTAATCCTCATATATAACAAACGGTTACAACAATCGGATGCTCAAAGATGAATAGATGATGGAAAGACGTTATTAGCATGTGAGAAATTCATTAAACAGAAATTAGAAAGTACTGTCTAGTTGCGCCAATTCATCCATCTTTTGCTAATACATTTACCTTTGACGTGTACATCTAATTTCATGAAGTTCTCAACCATCTCGAGCTCTTCCATTGCATGTCATTCGTACTTTGACGAGTCATCCATACATATATGATGGCAAACAAGAAATGATATATATTACCATGTAGCCAACAGATACAAAAGCCAGATTACTATTAGCCAGTCCACTAGCGCATTTGATAATACTTATTCAGATGTGTTCTAGTTACGGTGAAGTGTATTCTTCATATTTCGAATATTTAATTCAAATTCAAATATAGAGGAAGTCTATGGTCAAACTACTATTTACACTAAGAGAACCTTATTTTATTTAGCAATGTTGAAATTTGCTTGTGAGTTAGAATGCACGCCTTGCATGTAATTTGTTCAACAAATAAATATATTTAATCAGTTTTCTAATGCAGGCGAAATTTTCGCAGAGCTATTTAACTACCGCTAATTAATCTGATTATTGCTGCTGGATTAGATCACAGTAATAGCCACCTTTAGCAATAAGTGATTCGTGAGTGCCAATTTCTTGAACATATCCATTTTCGATGCATATGATTTGATCAGAATTTTGTACGGACGATAGCCTATGTGCAATAGTAATGCAAGTACATCCCATTCTTACCTGATCCAAAGCCTTTTGAACCATCTAAAAATTACAGATACTATGATGTCGAAGTAATATTAATGCTGTCGAAATAATATTAATTAGCTCGTTAATCTGTTACAAATAATGAGCTGAATAAATATTTAACGTTTATCAAGTAACGATCGAAATACTATACTGTTAAGAAAACAAACATAATATCTAGAAAAATAGAATAGCAAGTACGTGCTACAAAAGAGAAGTATTTAATGTTGGAAAATTGTGGTGAGATATGTACTTTCGACTGTATGACTGGTTATCACATTCTGTGAGTCATGAGAGCATCTTAAAACTTGGAAGTATCTAATAATCTTAGATTAATTGTGATAATTGAAAAGACACATATAAAAAATGTGGTGACACACAAGACATACATTTTCTGATTCGGAGTCGAGTGCACTAGTTGCTTCATCAAGTAGAAGTATCTTTGGATTACGAATGACTGCACGCGCGATAGCAATTCGTTGTCTTTGTCCACCAGACAGCAATGTTCCTTTTTCACCGATTTCAGTTTCCAAGCCCTAAAACTAATGAACTATTAGTATGGTGCAGAAGATAGTTGTTCTGCATGTGTAGATTCATTCTTTCTGAAACCGTATAATAGTTAAATTTATAGCTTATTTTGATGCCTTTACATTACAAGCAATTCAAATTCGAAATTAGTGGTAACATTTCTGATACTGAATGTTCTTGGCGAGAGAGGTTCATTTTAGAATTGGCTGTTTTTCGATCGGATATGGTTATTAAGATGTGTTACTATGATAACTTCTGTATCAGTACATTTACCATAGGTAGTGATTCTACAAAAGTCCTTGCATTGGCCAGCTGAAGTGCTTCTAACACTCTATCGGTCGATACTGATTCTTTTAACCCAAAACAAACATTTTCTTTAATAGAACCACTAAACAATTGAGCATTTTGTCCGACAAGTGCCATCTGAGATCGAAGATGATATAAATTCAGCTTGCGCAAATCTTTTCCATCAAATCTCTGCAATGAACATTTGATTGATTCATATATTTATTTACTTGCTTATTTATTTTATATTCATTTATCTGCTTCTTTACTTAATCTATTTTATTTATCAATCTACTTACTTATCTCTATATTGCATTTAATTATCCATTATCTGTTATTTTATTCTATTTTATTAACTTGTGTATTTATTTATTCTGAATAAATAATCCCAATATAAATGATCTATCTATTAAGTGATCTATTTATTTAATATAGTATTGTCATCTTATTTTCTTTAAGTTTCTGCAATGAAGGCTATTGATAAGATTTAGATTTTAAGACTTTTCGAGTGTGGAATAATTGAGAAAGAGAAAAAAATTTCTCCAATAGATTCTGATTTTGTAGAAACAATGAGAAAACTATTAAAGAAAAGTACCACAGAACCAGAATCGGGATCATAGAATCGTTCAAGCAGTGATATTACGGTGCTTTTACCAGCTCCCGAAGAACCGATTAATGCTACCGTTTGTCCTTTGGCAACATTGAACTGTATTTTGTTCATAACTGGGTATTCCCTTTTTCGTGGATATGAGAATGAAACATTATGAAACGAAATATTGCCAGCAATATCCTGCAAAGGTTCTCGATAATATAAATATGAAGTAATTTTCAAAAGAAATAAAAACGTTGCGAATTACTTTCAATTATTTAATCAGTAGTAAATTCAAAATCAACTTTCAAACTCACAATTTTCTCTCCTTCTTCCAGTTCGTCTAATTTTGATTTTCTTTCCGTAACTGTGAACAAAAGTTTTGCTGAACTTCTTGCCTTGATAAATTCCGGAAAATAAATTGTTGAATTCATTAAACCAATACCACCCAGTAGATGAGCAACAATTGCACTAAAGTTAAAGATATTACAGTACAGTTTTCACACTAATTTTTTTCTGTGCTAAAAATAAGACATGCTTTCAAAATTTTGATATTAGTTAATAAATACTTACAAAGCGTTTCAAGTTGATGGTAGAACTCAACAAATATAATTAAGGCTGTATTTGCAATGTAAAGTCCAATAGAATTTATTGTAACTTGATCTATTCACTAACTTTTATACTGACCTATTAACTTTAATACTGTTCTACAAAAAATTACTTTAGATTATTTACTTTGTTTGGTTATGATTTGACGTTGATTTGCATATTTAAAAAGAAAAGGCCTGATATTCACTCAGCAAAACAAAATAGAGCAAGATTATTATCTTCCAAGAACTTCTTTTCATGAAGATTTAGAGAAATAAAAGTGAAACTTAGTCACCTGAAAATGTGAGCCGTATGTTGCGGATCATGATATTCCTTCCAGCGTTCAACAATAATATGAATACCAACTGCGTAAGATAATGCAAGCATAAAATATTGGAAAGTTTGTGAAATTGCAAAATTAATCGCTTCAATCCTTGTCTTTTGAAGTTCGTGTTTTAAACGTATTGAACATGCATTAGAATATTTACTATGAAATACATTTTCTCTTGTTAGCAATTGTATAGTTCTGACTCCTTCGATAATTTCCACAGCTAGCTTAAATAATGTGGAAGTAAAAATAAACATGAATAAAAATAATGAATAAAATGGTTGAATTCATAAATATAGGCTCCAAAAGTAAACATTGAACATTGAACATTCAATTCTTGTGTACAATAATTTACCAACAGATTACAGGGAGTCAATTATTCATGTTTCGTTAACATTTATTCACGTTATATTACGCAAATTATTCCAATAATTATTACTAACGAAAGGACCAGAATGTGGTGATGTTTAATTCCAAAATTGCATCAACGTAAAGAAAATTATCCTACTTACACTACCAGCTTTGTCTTCTTTCATGAGTAGCAAATTCTTGTAATAGACCCATCGAGATAAATAAGCTTGCAAAACACTTAGTACTAATGATAAAGAAATACCGGTAAGAGTAACCTGAAACAAAATTTTCAAAATATAGTAATCAAATTGAATTACACAATTCAAAGACTGATTATGCCAGAAGGAGTTTGAAAACAAGAAAGTGAAAAATAAATCTGACTGACTTGCCAACTATAAATGAAACCAATGATAGTGCAAATTGAAAATGCAGAAATACCAAAAATAACTTGCAGCATTCTGGAATCTAGTACCTAAACAAATACTATAAAAACTCAACTTAAATCTTGACAATCTATCTAATAAAACAAAACGGCAGGAATGCTTCGATAAGTTAAGAAGGAAATGACCATTTTTATATTTGGTGCATCAGAAGCAAGACGAGTGATCAAGTTTCCAGCAGCATGTGAAGGATTATCGAAATAAGCAGCATCTTGATGGAGGATATTTAACAAAGCACGGCAACGAATGGATAAAATGACATTTTCTGATACTACTCCTGACAAGGAATTCTAAAAACAATTCTTTGTAATCTCTTAATATTTTTCAAAGCAGAATGCAAATACATTATAATTATTAATAGAGTTCATGTTCTGCATAAATTTATAGTTACTGATGCTCTACAGCTGATGACACAAATGAATTCTTAGGCATTACAGCTTTTCATATTAAACTAGACTAAATCTTCCAATGTGATTAAAAAGCTGCACCAAACCAATCAAACGAAATGTATAAAAAGCACAAAAATAAAATATGCAAATAAAATGATGAAGCAGTAATGATCATTTCGAAACTCTTACACTGATAAAATTAGTAACGAAAACCATTAATCCCAAAATACCATAAAAAGCAATCAATAGATATAACTGATCAATCATGTGATCATGATCAACATTTTCATTCGATTTCGATTTTGTTTGTTCATAGTCTTGATAAATTTTAAAAGCAAATGTAAGCAACCAAGAAATAGCTGGAAGTTGCGCACCCCATATTATAGATACCACGAGGCAGCAAATCTGCAACTCAAAAAAATATTCCATCAACACAATATTATCCAGTCTGGCTTTGAAAATCAAAATAAGCAGCATCTTGAAGAATTTTGAATAACAAACGAGAACGAATAAAATAAAATGATATTTTCTGATATTATTTGAAAAAGCTTCAAAAAATTTTCAACAAAAGAGCATACAACAACCTTAATTAATAAATTAGACTGAAACTTTGTATCATAATTTTGCTAAGCAGTAGTTTTTTGATAGTAAAGTTTGATTTAACTTGAAATTTTCACAAAATTTTATTGATTCGAGTAAATAATTTCATTTGTTTGCATAGATAAGAGAGGAACTTTTCTTTCTTAAACTTCTACGAACAAATACATTTTTTTGTTCTCCGTTCTACTCACAAGACAAGCAATGTTTCAGGAAAGTGATAGAGATATGTAATGACCTTATGACTTAGCAACCTGTAATATATGTCATGACCTTTTGTCTTAGCAACCTGTAATAATGAAGCTCATCTAAACTTTCATTATATTTTTTTATTGTTTTTATCTTACCGAAAATTAAAGTAACACGCAATTTTCACTTGAATTATTTTGTAAGCAAATATTATTTACGGCGATCAGATAAAAGAGTGGTGAAAGTTTATTGCAATAGCAATAACCTTGACCAGAAAATAGCACATATGATTTGAGATTATATACTTGCGTAAAAATCAAACCATAAGAATGTAATTGCCCTGAGCGTTCTTAAATATTGTTATGAATCCAAATGAAGATTTGCAGTCTTCCTCAGACATTTCTGAACCCGCAAATATTGGGTCAGAAGCAGGCACAAACGAATCCACACCTATTGCCGATGAGGAATTGCCAATCCTACTACAATAATCAGAAAAAAGGATTGTATTAAAGCTAATCAAAAACAAAAGTGCCCAAAAATAAAAGATCTAGGACATATTTAACCTGTCTGAAGAGAATAATTACTACAAAAATCTTTTTCAGTACCTAAGTGACATACTGTGACGACCTGAAGCTCCTCTAATAAACGTATCTGATTCCTTCACGAAAGATTTTGTTGTAGATGATCGATGATTCCGATAGACTGATTCATTTTGTGGCAAAACTTGATCTTCTTCAACGGCTTTAGCATCCAATGAATCACTAAAAGCAGTTGTACAATGTAATAACCTATAAGTATTCAACCTTTTCATTTATGAACTTTATATTTACAAATAATAAACTTAATCCAAGATTTTGCAAGTATGAAAATTGCTTATATTTACCATTTTCTCTTGAAAAATTGTTAAACAATACTGCTACATAAAATTTTTTACTGTAAAATCAAAACTGAACAAAAGTAAAATGAACGAACGAATAATTTAGCAATTTATCTATAAATCCGTTATTAAACCCATATTAAGCATATAAAATATTGTTTATTACAAATAAAAGTAATCATATTTTAAATAAATGCACAAACCAATGTGGGACATCCATAATGTTGCTTCCATCGTTTTTCAAATCATTATTATCAGCTTGTCGAATTTGTTGAGCTTGGAGAAGTTGCGCATAGGAACCACCAATAGCAATTAGTTCGTTATGATTACCTGAAAACTTAATTTTGGCAAAGTGAAAGAAGATGGAAAATAATCGAATTGAATTGAAGAAATTACTTTATAACTGAATACTTTATTTATTTAATTTGAATTATTTCATGTAAAAATTGTTTTCAGGAGTAAATACTGCTATATGTCATAGATTCCTTTGTATTATTTGAGGCAGTAATTTACATTAAAAGACAACTACATCAACTGTATCGTTAGATATGCTTCATACAACCCCAAAGACTAGAACAAAAAATAATTATCATAAGACTAGAACAAAAAATAATTATCATATACTTTGAATATCTTGTTTTGGTATGAAAATGATAAAATTCCTTCTCACCAGCGATACAATATCAAAATTATATTCAGAGATAACAAACCTTGCTCAGTGATTGTTCCTTTATCGATAACAACGATTCGATCAGCATTACGTATTGAAGAAAACCGATGAGCAATGATAATGACTGTTCGTCCAATTAAAGCATTTTTGAGAGCTTCCTGCAATTTGAAAAAAATTCATGCTTGTATTTGTCTTAAAAAACTGTCATTACTAACATAACGTAACATAACATAACTTTCACAAAGTTAATTTTTCTCATAACTGTAGTGCAGCATTTTTGCATCTTCTCAGTAAATAATTCAATTCTGAACTAATTATATTTACTTGCACTATTTTATACTTAAAAATCATTAAATTTATGATAAAATACATAACAGTCATGCTAATAAATAAGAACATTTATTTATAAATTGCTCTTCATCAGAAATGTTTCTTACATTTTACAACAATCAACAATGTGAAACAATTACATGAATGCTTTGTATCTTAAAAAACAATAAACAAAACATACTAGTACTGCATTTTCAGATTTAACATCTAATGCACTCGTTGCTTCATCCAAAAGTAATATTTTTGAATTACGAATCAGAGTTCGAGCAATTGCCACACGTTGTTTCTGACCACCGGATAACTGCACACCGCCATCACCAATACGCGTTTTGTAGCCCTATATAAGTTATAAATTCCACATTATTTTTTAAATCTATTATACTTATTCACAGTGCTAAATCTAAACCTACTTTCTATATAAATTAATGAAAAATTAATAACCATCATTTCATAGTTTGGATAAATATGAAAATATAATTAAAACCTGTGGTAATTTAAGAATAAAATCATGTGCATTTGCTATTCGGCATACTTCGATCATCTGTTCCAAATTAGCATTTGGATCACCTAATCTTAAATTTTCTTCAACAGTATCAGTGAACAGAACTGGCTCTTGCTCAACAACACCAATCACATTCCGGAGCCATCTTATGTTTGCTTCATTTACTGGCATATCATCAATACTGACAATCCCTGATTCTTGCTCATACATTCGTGTTAACAATCCAATTAGAGTAGATTTTCCACAGCCACTAAAAACCAAATTTATCTTCTGAACATTAAATAATATCAGAGCATGCAAACATTTGTAAACACTAAATTTCACTATGAAATCGGTTTTTTTAATATAATGAGATTAACAACGTATTACAAAAATGCTGACTCAAAAATGAAGCATCACAATGACAAAACAATGCATAGATTGTTTCAAATGATAAAATGACATTCTAGAAACTTTTTGGTACAACAAAAAAAGTGATAGAAAAATGAGCGATTATTACCTCTGGCCAACCAAAGCAACTTTTTGACCTGGTTCCACGATCAAATTTAGTTGCTTCAGCACTTGAACGTTTTTTCGTGACGGATACCGAAAGTGAATATCTTTGAAGCTAATTTTACCTTTAATAACATCAAAAGACAGTCCATCTTTGCAAGATGCATCTATTTTCGGCTGCTACAATACAAAAAATCTTACTTACCAATGATGAAGTTTCATGAATTAATCTATCATTGATTCTTTACAAATCAATAAACAAATTTTATAAAATTTATAGCCCAAAATCATCATCTACAGTAAGCAGTTATTTTTGGTAACATCCATAACATATTGCTATATATGAAAAAGCATTTCCAACTACTTCAATTTCGAGGTTAATAATTCCTTATAAGCAGTATTATTGAATTGATGAAAGGAATTCTTTGTTATTGAATTCTGTTTCTGTTATCTGATTTATAATCAACAAATTTTGTCATTTTATGTACATATTTAAAGTACTCAAGTTCAACATACTTTACTTATTACCACATGATAAAGTTAGTTTTACTTGTGCACAGAAAATATTTCACGTAGACAATATTTGTAAACAAAACAACACTTTAATTTTACAATTTACTAGCCAATTTTATGAGGTTTTTTTTTTCTTGAAATTGGCTTAAGACATAATTATTCTTTCTAACTTTGATAGGAGTGATATCTTCTATCATAGTGATAATATATCAATTGCAAGCAGTGCCAAACATTTATGAACAAATTATTTTTGCACTAAATAGATAAACGATAAATAAAACTAACTCTATCAATGATTTGATAAATAGTAGCAGCTGCAGTCCGAGCATTAAGCAATACCATCAAATGTGGACTGACTAGACCCAAAAAATATGATCCCATAACAATAGAAAAAACTACAGTAAATAATTCACCTGGATTTTTAAATATACCAATTTTCAGCAGGTATCCTCCATAACTGTAATATTTATAATAATGAATTAATGTAATGCATTCATGTATTTGAAAGTAAATAAAGAAACTTGTACTATTAAAATTCAGTTTTAAAAATTATAATTAAATAACAAAAAAGTTTAAAAATAAAATCAAATTATCATATAATAATAGTACGTAAATTTACAATTAGCTTTTATATTCAAGCAAAATAAACTTACAGAAACCCAATGCCCAAGAAGATAAGCAGAACAAAAAAGAACAAGCCGTCTAACATTCCACTCCAGCAACTTCTGCTGATACCATACTTTTTGCCCTTGCAGAGCTGTCTTCTGTATCGCTCTACCATTTCTTGCTGCCCATTGAAGGCTTGTACAGTTCGCACGCCTATTATGCATTCCTCAGCAATTACACCAGCCTTACTGCTGTCGTCCAATTCCTTTTCTAGTGCTGCATCTGTTCGCTGCAATACAAATCTTCATTTTATGTACAGTTCATGCGTTTTCATTAAAATACTGTATGCTTTCATTTTAATATCGTATGACAAATGCCAAAAAAGGCTTTTTTTAATCTTTCACACTAACCAATTTTGTCTGCTGCGAATAATTACTTCATTGAATGCAGTAATATCAATTTTGATTATGTATGAAAATGCTTGACTGATATTTTACATATATCATCTCATTTTACATCATTACAATACTTCTTTTATTAGTTTCCGTGATATTAAGCATTGTTCATTGTTATCAAATAAAATTTTGTGGTTATTTTTTCAATAGTCTTTCATTTCTCTTATTTACATGTTTTGGTAAGAGATTATGACTAACATATTTTGAGAAACATATTTCAAAACTATTTTCAGTATCTTTCATAGCAAATAACTTCTAATTTATTCTTTGCCTCATAAACATTATCATTATTGTTATTATTATTATTATTATTATTATTATTATTAATTATTATTACTATTGTCATTCATTTTGTATCAATGTTTATCTCTTTTAATACCTGAGCTAACTTAGCCATAATAAAACATGAAATGGGTGCTACCGGAAACATAACCAATGCTAGTCTCCATTGAAAAAAAAATGCAATGATTTGTGAAGATATAAACATTGCTATACCACGGATAAGTAATCCCAATTTATCACCAATACCTTTACGTAGATGCTCGATATTTCTGTAGCAAGCTGTTAACTAGTTTAATTTTAATAAGTCAACCAAAAATTATATTTACATTTTTTATTTGCATCAAATTAATCAAGAAAATTATAAGATGTCCCCTGACTATCAGTTTTTGATTATAATTTTAGAATGGAAGATTCAAAATTAATATATGATTCAAAAATAACATTATTAAGAAGTGATAAACTTAATAATAACACTGATAGCTAACTGTAAGTATCCATCATTTTTATTATCATGAAAAATAAATTATGATTACTAGATTTATACAGTGAGTAGTAATAATTCACAGTCTAAACAAAATTGAATTACTGAATAAAATGCTGAAATTATGATAGTAATTAGATTTATATGCATTTCAAAGGATTTTAGATGTCTTACAAACTCTGAAGGCTTTTCAAACCCAAATTTTTCAATTTCTGCTGTATGAATGTGATTAAATGAAAATAAAGCTAGAAGTCACTTGATACTTACATAATTCTTTAACAAAAAATGAAATTTTTATATTTTTTACTCATTAAGTCGTGTAGTCAATTCGCCACTTTTATTACGATCAAACCATGCGCTGTTTTGTCGAAGAATTGCGCGAATATATTGTTTTTGTAGTCGAGCGACTATTCGAAAGCAAGTCGATTGAAAGCATATGAACTGAAAGCAATACAGTACTATTCATTTGAGTTTTGTTCTTGAATACAAAAAATAATCGTAAAGGCTATACAAAACAATTTAATATGATTGCAAATCCATGAGTAAAAATTACTGTCCATTTTATTTAGTGAATAACTATTGAAGCACAAAAAATTGTTGAAATTTTCAAATTTAAGGTTTTCCTTCTTATACAAATTTAACAGAATTTGAAAAAATAATATGCTGGATGTAACAAATTTATTTAAGTATTTGATAAAAAGTTCAATACATACTTGTATGTAATTGATGATCAAAGTAGCGATACCCACGCAAAGATACAGGTATATGAAAAATAATGCACTTTTGTGAAATTCTTCACTTTCAGGAGATTGCGTGAGTAAAACGTTGGTAATTTTTCCACTAATAACTGCTATTGCTGGCTGTCCAATACCGCTCAAAACAGCGCAAAATATACCAACAAATATGATACATTTATCGAAAAGATTTGTGTAACGAAACTAAAAATAACTATATTTGATAAGAAGTTATATTCTGTCGAAATTCGTCAATTTTTAATAAAAAGATTAAAAAGCCGATAAATTCAAAGTGTTTTTCAATTTAAATTTACAAATTTATTTACTTTAACTCGATTTAAAAGTAACTGACATCTTAAATATTATACAAATTTATAATTTAAAAATAATAAAAATCAGAAACAAACCAAGTCAGTAATTGCAACAGGTTTCTCGTCTAATTTTTTTTTAGCAAGATCTGCTCTGAAAAAAAGAAATAATTGATGGCACTGACTGGATTTTTAAAAAAATTTATGAATAAGCATACACTCGAAGCATCAACTAAAGAAGTAACTGTAGAACATTAAAGAACATCACTTCAATATGTTTGTTTTCAAACATTAAAGAATGGCTAAACGTATTTGAGAAACTGCTTTTGAGGTGTACTCATATGATGAAAATCTGAGAAATTTTATCAGAATTATTCTAACATTTGAATATTAACACTTTGAAAAATTAAATGATGCAAAAGCCATTTTTATTACATACATTCATTGCATTTTCACCTTTTATAAAGAAATTTAATTAGCATAATTTATGAAAGTTACCCAAAAAAAATTAGTTTATCTTGCGCTAATATACAAAAAAGACTAATGTAATAAAGTTCTAATTTAGTTTGCTGAAGAAAGCATAGTCATCAGAACCTGCACAAGAGGTAGTTGACAATCTGTATAAGCCGGTTTGGTTGATAACTTTTCTTAGTAATAGTTTTTTCTTCGCTATCCAAAAATTGTTGATCGTAATTTATTTTTTTCACTCCATTTTCAGCTTCAGATATTTCAAAAGTTTGCTTGGTTGTTTCTAAGTTCTGAATCCTGTCATGTTCCGTTGTGAATATTTTCGCATTTTTCATCCTTGGAATTTCGATACATGACATTAATGATATTTTATCAAAACAATGAAAACGAACATATAATATTCTTATATGATTTTCACTGCATCACCAAAATGCAAGATTGAAAACATTGATAATATGGAGTATGTATATGGAGACAAATCTTTTGAAATTTTTAAACTTATCGTTTAAAAATATTTTTTTGTTATAGAATTATAAATTTATTATGACTTCTAAATTAAGATGTAACAGTACACTGATATGAATTATTAATAGTATTTACAACGAATTAATGATTATCGTACTGAAATGACAAATTTTTGGAGCCAAAAATAGATTAAAATTTGAGTTATACATCTGCAAAAATTTGTTTTTGTCATTTTCTGGAAATTGGAAAAACTGATAAGCAAAGGCGGGTAATTCAATTTTGAAAAAAATGAAAATATTGTGATATAAAACAACCGCATTGAAACTTTGATTAGTTCATTTGCCGGATGTATAAGGACTGTATGATCCTAACATGTTCCATTTCATATGACAGAGTATAAAAGTTGTACACTCCCATCAAATGGCAGATGTATAAAGACTGTACATTCTTATCAAATGTCAGATGTATAAAGACTGTACAGTCCTGTTAAATGGCAGATGTATAAAGATTGTACAGTCCTATTATAAAGAAATTTAATAGGAAAACATAAGAATAAGAGGTGTAACTTTTACTGGTTATATTGTTTATTTCTTGACTAAAGCACTTTACTGCTCATGTAAAAAAAATGAGCAACGTAATTAGAAAATAATAGCAAAGCATAGTAAAATGTTCATCATCTATCTGATTTAGACTTTTTCCAGTTCCTCAATAATGTTACCAGTCTCCGATTTAAAAACATCAAGTTTCAGCACTTCGGAGTTTCAGAATTCACTTTTGGTACGTTTAAGCAGAAGTAAATCCGATGCTGATAACTGTAAAATCTACGTAAAACAACCAGTTTTCTTACCACTCATTTTATATTTCATCTCCTTGAAACTGAAAAATGATAAAATGTTGGATACTTTTCCAAGGTTTACTACTGGCAGTAAAATTTTTTTTTCAGATTTTAATTCTTATCAATGATTCCATCCCCGTCGTTTTATGTAATGATTAACCAAACTGATTACAAAGCAAACATTAGCTGTAGAAAAAGTAATTAACTTGCTGTATAGTTCCATGCAATGTTTGGAAGATTCAAATCTGCAATATTTCCTTCAAAAGTGATGAGTAAACTAAGAAATTTTAAAGCTTTTTAATGATAAATAAATTAAGAATGCAACTTTTTTGAAAATGGAAATAAATGATTCCAATAATTTGATAATTTTTTAGCAAGAAATAATCATACTGAGAGAGTGAACATAAAAACTGATGAGTTGCCATAAGAAAACAAGTATAATATAGTTGCTAACACTCTTCATTTTATGCTTCAGCACTGTGATTACAGCACTGGTGAGTTGCACACCTTGCACTGTACACAAAAAAATGAATTGCATTGAGTTATCGTGAACTAACAGAAAAATATATAAATCGTAAAACCCAGCACTTCAAGAACATATATTTATCTATAAAATGAATTTCTGCTGTTCCAATATGAATCGAAAAACGCAAGAGCAACCAGTCTACAATACTACTTAATCCATGTACTTTTCTGAATACTTCCAATATCTTCATACTTTGGTCTACCCTAATAAATGATTCCAGTACTTCATACAAAAACTATTCAAAATTTTAGGACCAACATAACCGACCCAAAACTTGAGAGTCCCAGTCAAATTGACGAAACCATTCACACTATTGACATTCAGTCCTTCAAGGTAAACAATTTACTCCAGAAAACCACGGAACTTCCTGAATATGCTAATCCCGAGCACTTCGCATCTTGAAGAGCACACACCACCCAGTTTCCTCACATTTGAGTAGCAATTTGCCAATAAAATTTCACTTGAAAAGTTCCTCTAAGACAGGGCTTCATAAGACGACTAGCATAAGTTACAAGATCTCCCCTCAAGTCTAGAATCTAAAATTCTCAGAAGGTACCAAAAAGTACCACAGAATAATTTACTTCATGGTCTACCCATAAATCCTTATTTAGTGGAGAAACTGCTTGCTGTTCTATCATTTGCACGAAAGCATCACATGATACAAATGATTTTGTCGAAAAATAATACCACATATGTGACTTACAAAACTTACTTAAAATGTCTTTTATAATAATTACTCCTTCAAGACCAAAAAAATGAAACAACAAACATTTATGTCAAAGGTAAGAAGCGAAAATTTCTGATTGCAGTTAACAACGAGTTTCAAAAAAAAAACAATACAGTTTTCAGAATGAACAGAATTAATAAAAATTAATCAATCCAGCGAGTAAATGTGCATTGACAAATAAGACAATCATCATGTAACAAACGAATCACCACGTTGCCTGACAAGCAAGATTGCCAAAATATGCTGTGATTGCCTTTACCTTTTTGTTTACGACAGCCTGTTCGATTTCTACAATACCACCAGTCTTCTTTGATAATGTAATCAGCTGCAAAAATTTAATTAATTATTAGAGTTTGCATCATCTTTCGAAACACAGACTTTCAATTCATGAAACTGAATTTACTCCCTTGAAAGAAGAATATGCTATGGAAACCTTATACTACAAAATTTGTTTATTTTTCCTTGACTTTATTGATCTTCTCTGCCAATTACTTTTAATATGAAGGAAACCTCTTTAGTATTTGTCTGCCTTGGTAAATAATAAGCTATGTTATGAGACAAGTCCCGTGCAACGCGAAAGGTTGTATCTCCTTTTGGTTCCATATCATTTAAGCTAAATACCTAAAACACTACTTCTCAATAAATTACAAAAAACCAATCTAATATATTCTTTTGTGAACGACACCGAACTTTCTATGGTCATTATAAATTATTAATACCATTTCATTAATTTACATGTAAAGAAAAATTTTTCTGAAACGAAATAAGCTTGTCTGTCTCAGCTTATGCTTTCAATTTTTCTTAAATCTACAGAAGTCACTAATTATCAGCTGTCAAAGCAAATTTATAATTCCTCATGACCTCATCACGAGAGAAAAATGATACATAATCAGTTAATCATAACATTTCAGCATTTGAAAAAATTCAGAATCTAACTTTTGATTTAAGATATGATGGTCCACCCCATGGAGGGCTGAGTAAAATTGCATCAATAACAGGGACATTAAGGGCAATAATCCCTGAATCATATCCATCATGCTCGTTCGCTTCACGAGAAGTAGTCATATCATTTGTCATCAGATCCACCACTTCTAATTTATCCTTTGCATTCTCCTCCACTAGCTTGCAGTTACCTACAGTTTTATTTTTATTTCTCCATAATTTCGATTTATCACATCGAGTAGATGGGGTCATATTAGTTCTCTTCTTTCCCATGTTCAATTTCGACCGTCTCAACGTATGACTATGAAATTTGCAAAAGTTGAAAAAATCCGTGCAAATGAAGTCTATACGATCGGCGACACCATATATCTCAGCATTTCGTTTCGCGCAACGCAATCGAACATGATCCATATCTAGTGCTATCACTGAAAAGTGCTTTTTATTTATAAATTAAAATATTACTAAAAGACTCCATTCAGCGTTAAAATACAAAATGGTAAACAAGAGGTGCAAAGAAAAACTTTAGTACCCAAAACCAGGGAAAAGTGACGGAAAAGTTGAACACTCATCAATTTCAAGAAATAATGATATTTAATAAACTTTATATAGTTTTCATGTAATAATTTTAAAGCTAACTCTTTCCTTAACCTCGACATATACAATTAATATTATGAGTAAGAGCGAGATACACAATGACTCAACATTTAAATAAGATGCAACATATGAGAAGAACTAAATAATGCTTTAGCTAAAAGAAAACCGCACCGTAAGCGCCTTTAAGAGCAAACTGTATGCAGTTTCCACCGACTCCCGCAAAACCGTCCAACACTATGATATCTTTCATAATGACTACACGATCAGCAATATGAGCTGCAATTACTTCTGGCGTTACTGAGTACCACCCTTCTGCAATTTTTTTCAAATCATTTAAGTGAAGAAAATGACTTGGCACAAGCTTTTAAGATTGATATTCTAAAATTTTTGTAAAATATGGAGCTTCAACATACATGTTTAAATATCACTTTTAAATAACTACTACTATTCAATACTGTGGGTATGAAATTTTCGTAAACTTACGACTAATACTTTTATGACACAAACGGACATCAAATCTCTTACTTTAATTATTCATGAATGCCAATAAAAATCATAAATTATGCTGAGCCTAACATAAAGAAAAAGAACTGACCCCGGTCCATAAGGATACCTTCATTTAATCTCGAAAAAAGACGAAAGCGTTGGCTATAATATTTTGGCATATCCTAAAGTAATAGACTATTTATGCACTTAAAATTTATTGGAAAATTTTCAAGATTATTTTTACTTTATATTTCGTGAGATACTGCTAAAAAAGTGATGGAGATAGAAAGCGAAAATAAAAACTAAATACCTTATCACTCTTGAAAATATCCAATGCATTTTTAGCAACTAGCCATTTGTCACGTTGTTCATCATAGCTGAAATCAACATCCTCAATACCTGTATTACGTGAGCTTGACGTATTTAGCTGATCTCCAGCATCACAATCCTGAACAATTTGAAATTTAGAACTGTACAAGGTAATCATCTTAACGCTAATTCTATTTAAGCTAACAGTTTAACAATTTCACCATCTAATATTATTTAGAAATGCATAGAGTTTTGTAAATTAATAAAGATAGATACTTTATCTAAATTGTCTTGCTGATTTTGAAATTAAAAAAATCGATTCGTAATGCACTGTACTGAAAAACTTACGTTCGTATTATCCCCACCGTTATCAACTTCGACATCCCCATAAATTTTTGAATTTACTTGCATAAATCGGTTAGGAATTCGAAAATCATAATGAATATCACAAATATGATAACCACCACCTCTATAAACGTAAGTTCTCAAATAAAAAATATTACAACTACATTTCAAATAAAAATAAACATACAAAAACTTGCAAACTGCAAAAAAAAAAATATAAAAATTGTTGGCCATTGAACTTTTCAGGAATAATTACCGAAATAGTTTTTCGCAGTTGTTCGTTTCACAAATTTTATACTTTTACAATATTAATAACAGAGCAAATTCTGTTTCTGTTTAATTTTTTAATAAATGCTTAATTTCGATTTTCCTACACCAATGAAAATATTAATAACAAAAGAAACTAAATACAATTCATGACAATTTGAATGAAATTAACTGGTCCAGAAAAATTAAAGTTAATTAAATCCTAAGACGATAAAACTGATGGAGTCATAAAATAACCAAAAGTTCTGTGTGTAGATAACTATTCATCTTCATTCCAAATAAGATAAGAATAACGAATGAATTACGTGTCTGAAGAAATCGGTAATCTGAGTAACAATCATTACTTACTTTGTCAATCCTGAAGTACTCGCATCCACATCTTCGACATTAGATGCACATTCATCATTGTAAGTAAGACCAACCGAAATTAACTATAATTAAAAATATTGTGTGAGTACATTTTAGCAAAAATAATAAAGGAACGCAAGCATGGTATTCTGTACCAGGCAGAGTAAACAACATAATTACAAACCTTCTCCGAAAATTCCTTGCAACGTCGTAATGGAGATTCTTTTTCATACTTCATGTAATCTTTTGTAATGAGTCTGTCCACCGCTTCACTATGTTTCGAATAAAGCTCATCCCAATTAAAGATGACTTCAGCTGATGATGTTCTCTGACTACTAGTTGGTTCGAGTTGTTGGACACCTGCAGATGAGTCCTTTATCTCTTCATACTTAAACTCTGGCTTTTGATGAAACCAACATCCTGAGCATTCTTCATATGTATGATCCATGTGTGAATATGAAATGCCAAAAAATGCCTGAAATGAAAAATGAAGATCCACAAACGAAAATAAGATTTAAGCAGAAATCAATATGCTCCGTATCCACAAAACTTGTTCAGTTGATTTACATAAAAAAACCACTGTGAATAAACTCAAAAGCTACAATTTACTCCTCCAAATAAAATGCTTTCCAACTACATGAGTAACACATACTTAAAAAAAGATATCATATTTTGGTGGAATGATGTAAGCTAGAAATGTATAAACAAAGTATACTGACTTCAGCGTTCTCGTGATCCTTCAGTAAACCATAAGGAGCATATAAAGTCTCTGTTGAATAGTCAAAATACTTTGCATCTTCCAAAGTTGAAAAAGACTCCGCTACAACAAAACAAATAATTTCGAGACCATAAATGATGACTTGACTAAGTCATTTCTAATTCGTAAAGAGCAAACCCGTACTACAGAACTTATATTTGAATGTCATAAATGCAGTTAGCTGCAGTTGAATACAAAACAAATCCATTTTTCTCATACTGTAAATAATTATTTACTTCTTTCATGAACAAGGCATTTCAAAGCTGAATAAACGGAAAACTACTACTCAGGAAATTGATAACAGGATTTTGAGGATCAAATAGAACCCTGAATAATATATGTAAACTGGTGAAGCTAATTTTTCCGTATTCGGCAAATTACTTTTTTCACATAAACATTAAGCACAGGGTGCTTCTAATCCTCGTTACTAATTTGAATGGATCTCATGACAAAGGGTACAAAAAAGAACATATCTAATTTTATAACAAATAAACATGAAGCATCGGTCACAAACTAAGGCATCTTTACAATTATAGAACAAGAAATAGGATGACTGAATGTTTCACCTTACTTAAAATGTCCCACCTCTTCCTCAAAGTCTAGTTAAATGGATGTAAAAAAATATGTAGAGAGTTTTAAATTGACGGAATGGAGGGAATGTTATTACAAGCTCATGTTAATAACAATATTTGCTTACGATAATCATGTGACCATGATTTCCGTTCCAAATACATGCCGTTTCTAGATTTATAAGCAACGGAAGACTTGAAATATGGTGACTTTTCACGAATGTTATATTCTGATCGTTTCTTACGACTGCTATTTCGCTTTTTACAATTACAATGTTCAAACGATATAGGAAGTTTTAATGCCGCCATATCTGCAATAAACTGCATGAACAGAATGATCACAATGAATATGAGGACATTAAGAAATTATTCTTAGTACTGATATTTTTTTTATATGACTTTAGATTCTCTCTCAAGTTACTTGTCATGAATGCAAATTGAAACTCAACTGCTATCTGGCGATAGCTTAGCCTATTGTTGCATTAATGAAAATTTAGGGACTATTACTCAGTAACGCAATGACAGCAGCAAAAAGATTCGTGATACCCACATTCTGAGCACAATAAGTCATGGATTGTACTACAAATTTTTGGCATGAAGATAACCGGCAAAAAAAAGAAAAAATCATATGTTGTATGAAACTGTCAAAACTGAGTTACAGAAAGACTAATTCGACAAATTATGACAGATAATATAAATTTATGCCTTGAGATAAATCACCATCGATATCAAAATTATTCTCTTTTTCATGATCTCGCACTTCGCTACCAGATACGTGAGAATTGTGAGCATTTGTTTCCCGCGGTTTATCCCTCAGCCTGGCCAATCTACCATCTCTTCAATGAGGAAACCATTAACAAAAGTAGTGTAACTAATAACATTATACTATTCTTGTAGATGTGTATATCAACAGCAGTTATATCTTTAGAACAAAATAAGTTGAGTACAAGATCATGAAGAGTAGTTAAAAATTACTACTCCAAATATCTTGATAATTTTTAAGCTAAACCCTTTACGAAGCGCAAAATGATCTATAAAACAAAGTTTTTCATTACTGTAACAAAAAAGAAACGAGTATTACGGAAATACACATTTGATTACTTTAATTCGGCACGAGAAAAACAACAGAAAGCTTCTTGGGAGGGCAGATGCGCTGTGGCTTTGAAGTAGAAAACAGCTTCGCCGTACAAATTCCAGTCATATCGAAACAACGGTAAGTTTTCATCAGGATTAAATTCTAGTAAGCTATCTTGGTACGAACGCTTTTTAACAAGTTGCTCATACTTTTGATACAACTTCAGCGACATATTAGTACAGTCTTTTCAGTTTAAATCGATTTAAGTTAGTGAATACTTTTTAAATTTCTACAATACTGTAATTGGAGAAACCCATAATCGAACATACCGAAGTTACATTAGTTTTCAATTACTGAGAAAAGAGTTAATCAATCTCAAACCTATAAGATTTTGTTATGACACGGCTAATGAAAATTGAGGTTTCACTGTTGCCTCAAGAAGAACATTTTCAATTATAATATTTGAAAACAGGAATTCTGAGTAAATTAATTGAAAGATAAGTTTTAGGAGACGCCTTGGAACTTCATTAAAGTAGTTATTTTTGACTGAACAGGTTATTCAGTCATTTCTACTAACCTAGGTGTGGTTTGTTTCTCATCTAACTTGCTTAGCTCGATTTATCTCCGTGAGTTACCATCCTTGATTGTACTCGTTTGATTGCAATAATTTTTTCTTATCAGATTTCATTTCATTTCAGAGGAAAATGAGATAGAAAGTGAAGGGATTAAATAATGTGTCTAGAATACAAATAATTGAAAAACATTGAAAATATTTTAGAGCCATTTTTGTATTGTAGAAAAAGATTCAGTCTTGAAGTTTTTCATCCACTGATGAATATTTCGTTTCATTATTCTTTCTACTAGTATTGAAAATATTATCAGTCATTGAACAACGAAAACAAAATGACGACAAAAGTGAAAGCTGCTGCATATCGTCTGGCAGGTGGCTCGAAAACCGTGTATGGTGCCGAATATGAAGAAAAAGTTTCTACTTTTAATAGCTTTAAAAAACAAGTCGACAAAATGGTTACAGTAGTGACAAATCTTGTTACGGTTAGTAATATCATACCTCATATTCCCATAATTCAACTATTATTTATGTGTATCATTGAGCTTACTCTAAGCAACAAAATTTTTTATTTTAAATTTGAAAAAAATAAAATACTTTTTTTTAATCGTGGGAATTTACTAATTTTACTGTTGAAGTTAATGATCAAAAGTTATGTTCTTCATAGGACACATTCGTGACAGAGATAAAGCAAAAGATTGTAAGAGATAGTGCCGATAGCTCTATGAATAAATTCGAGAAACTTGGCCAAGCTCTCTATAAGTATAGCCTTCAAATTGATGATCGATCGTGTGCAGGAGTTTTACAAACAGCCAAAAATGTATTAGACAAAGCCGGTCAAGAGCATCGCTCATTCAGGACAGATATCATAGAAAGAGTTCAGAAGCCGATGAAAGAATGGATTGATGTTAGTAAAATTACTTTCGAATTTTTGCATATTTAATTGAGATTGAAAGATACGGAAGAAAAATTTTTTCATTTCACTTATTGACTGTACTTAGACATAATACAAAATGTATTTACTTTGGTAGTTTCATTTCTGTGAGACTGATTTTGTTTGAAAAACATAAGGAGCCGAAAAATACCAGCTGCAATTTTATTGTATGTCTAAGAATTCACTTTTCTTTCAATATCTGTTTTGCTATGAACAACAGTTTTTTAACTTTTATCGGAGACATTGTCGTCTGCACGTATTTGTTAATACTACGAAAAAATACGACAATTATACTTGATTAGGAATTTTTATTAATTTGAGATTAGTATCAGCAAAGTCATGGAAAAAAAATTTTTTTGATTTAATTCTCTCCTTTTAAAATGAGTGCAAAAATAAAGTACACAATTACAGAAGGAAATATGGATTATCTGGATTAATTGAAATTACAGGTAAATGCTAAAAATGTATCTAAAGAACTGAAAGCAGTAGACAATAGGCGAGATGAATTAGACTGTGCTGTCAATAAACTTCGAAAAAAGGCGGATGATCCAGAAGTCAAAGTAAGAGTTGAAAATGAAGAGTGTGGAAACATTGAAAGCATAAAAAAGTAGTGGTGTATGTAGCTGTCTAAATTTGCATAATGTAACAACTTTCTTAATTTTAGGCCAGAAAGGAGCAAGCCGAAAATGCATTTAACGAAGAACTTGAGAGAGCTGATAAATTATTAGATGACGAGATCAAACAATCTGTAAGGCCAACACTCGTTTGCTTTTTTAAATAAAATTTGGATTTTGGAAGATTCATTCAAACTATGCTGGCATTTCCGATTTTAGAAAATACTCTGTTTTAGCAGTCAGTAGTTTCATCTGCAATGATAGCATATATGGAAGTAGTTGAAGGTTACAATGGACGAATGAAAAATATTTTCAAGGTGCCTTCATTTAACGCCTGAATAGGAATTTAGTTTCTTATTTTGATTTTCCTTTAAAGCTGCGAATTAATACGAAAGACTACTGCTGTTTTTCATGAGGTCTAGTTGCTAAGACATTGATTAATGTGCATATAAAGCAGAAGTCTGTTTTGATTTCAAACGTTAGCGGAAATGTGTACCTGAAAATGGCATTATTTCAGAAAATTTTGCAAATGTTTTTATTGTGAAGGATCTATTTGTGAAATGGTGTAAGCACCAAACTCATTGTGTTATGACAGAGTTGTCTGTTTCAGGAAGGCGTGAATGTATAGGAGCAAATGAAAGACTCTAAGACTTAAGACCGATTGGTACTGTGTTGATCTGACTAATTATTCACAGTGAGCTTATAAATGTATTTAAGATACAGACTTATAGACCCAAACATGTATGGTGATTAAAAATTGATAAGAGATTTTCTTATTTCATTAATTTTTTTAAAAAATCACTAATGTCGACTTCTTTAACATCAGGATAAAGTTCTTATGAATTTTTGAGATTTTGACTGATTCACAATAGGCTTGACGAGTAGTCGGAAAAGAAGGTACCATTGAGACATTGTGGATTGCAGGGATTAATTTCTGGCACTAATGAAGGGTGTCATTTTGTTTTTTTCTTATTTGAAAATATTTTTAGTAAAAGGTTTTTGTAAATCACAATTCTCATAAAACGAAAAAAATGAAAAATACAGGTTGTTCATTAAAGCATTATTTATATAAGCACATTTCGGACCAAAAAATTACGGCTATATACGAACAATGCTGTGAAGATAGCATGTCTTCGTATATAAAGTAGCTAATCCTTATGCGTATGTGTAGTAGTCATAGTCCTTTTATGGAACAATATTTGAGGTCATAAAAGTTATTCTCAGATCTTAATTTTACAAGGACTAAGTTTTTTGTCTTGTTCCCCGGTTTAAAAATTTTCTTAATTACGGCGCAGTACATGGAGTTTTTATGGGCTAGAAGTTTGTAAAGGTAGCCCTACGCAACCTTTTTATCAGATGATATACTATAAATAGCTTGCATGACATTTGGTTAGCTCTGAGATCGTAAAATACCAATTACTATCATTACTGTCATTGTTACTACTATTATTATTATTGTTATTACTATTATCTAGTCTGATATCTTCAATAATGAAGTTATATATAGTACTATTTTATTAATAAAATAAAGTGCGATTGCAGCATGTCTGCAAGCTCGTTGTTTTTATCATCGATTTCGTGTGTTTTCTAAGCAGAGTTATTATATATATAATAACTCTATATTATATATATATAATAAATGTTTTCATAAATTATATATATGTATATATATAATGTATAGAAAATAGGCACAAACTAACCAATATGTTTATTTACTACCACTAACCTATTCATTCGTTCCGTCGTGAAGCATTTACAATCTCATTCTAGCATCAGTTTCTTTATTGCTGCAAAAAAAGCCACTAAAAGTGAACATTTAATGAAGGCAGTATTGATTTGTTACACAGTAAAGCTAATAGTCGTATGTATATTTATCTGAGATAAACTACTAAGCTTGCAGTGGCGCTCCTATACTTGTAGCTATGCATATAAAATGTGTGGAGTATTATCGCTGACGTTTGATTCCATTGGATTTGACGTAGCACAATTCTACTTCCTCAAAGCATTACTTTTTGCTTACGTTTCAACTTTGCTTAGTGATGATGCTTGCTTTCTCTTCATGGTACTATACTGTTATTATTATTATTATTTCTGTTACCATTACTATTATTATTTGTATTGTTATTACATATGTTAGTACTAATATATTAATATTTCATATGCTAGTACTAATATATTAATGTTCTAACTCTTTTATCCGTTTGTTTTCCAGCTATTTAGTGTTCTTCTTCTCACTACTTAACTTTAGTTATTACGTGTAACAAGTGCAAATGTTTACGAAAAACCTTTCGTAAAGATTTTTTTTAAACTATTTAAAAGCATTTTCACCAGCTGTTAAATCTCCGTTCATTTTCTTAAAAATTTGATCGCATCTTTGCTTTTTATATGAATATGACTAGAAAAATTTTGTCGCAGAATTATAGAGAATATTAATCGTAAATATGAGGCATCGTGCTCCTTAATTAAATTTACATAAATTGTTAAATGCTTTCTTTTGTTTTCAATGTGACTTGTTAGCTGATAATGAGAGTCTGTTTTTTATACTTCCGTGCAAATTTTCTAATATTTGTAAGCAACTTTTTCTAGCCTAGTCCTTCCTGTTGGCTTGTTCAATCATTTTTCTTGCCTTGCTGAAATGACATAGATGATAATTATTTTGAATATATCCAAGTCTGGGGTATAATGTTATTTGTGGTTTCTTTCAGCTCATTTTTGAAAAATTTACATAGTATAAACTTTATTCCCTTGCAATAAATAAAAATTGATTCAAGTTTTCAAAAAGAGTAAAAATTAGTAATCATTTAATACAACTAATTATGTCCGTATTAAGAGAGAATGCTAGATGTCACAAAGATGAATTGGACTCTACTTGGGAGAAATTAGTCATACATACTTGAACTTGAAGAAATCGACTGCAGAATAGTTTTTAATTATTAATTCGGTCAGTGCAATAAAAGACGTGAAAAAATTTCAAGAAAAATTTATTCATTGCAATAGTATGAAATGCCACTGCAAATGAAGTAGGGAATGTAGCAAGCAGTTTGGTTGTAATGAATGACTTTATTTGCAAAGCACTTCTGTAAAACGACAAAGCTAATTTTTTATTATTTTCGCTTAATTGTGGACTGATTCAATTGCTTGTAGTATTTGTAGTTTCAAGTATGATTTAACTAAGAATCAGTCCTTTCCCTGCTTTTTTGTTCTATCTCTTAGTAATCAGCAAGCTATTAAAATTTCGCGTTGCCCTCTATATATATTTAGTGTATGTAATAACGGTAACTGCTTACTATATGTATACAGATCGTATAATTCTGGAATTTAATCAAATAAATGTCTATTTACATTAAAATTGTTCCCAGTACTCCTGTAAACGTCTGCAGTAATTCATACATAATAAGTTCAAAAACTGACAAGTATTAAAAGTAGCAGTGGAATGAAAAGTTATTTACTATTTTGATATATCAGTTATAAAAAATTTTGTAGTTACCGTATGTCAAACATTGCTATCTATTATCTTTTTTTTAAATTAGTGCGTAAATTATTATACAAAGAATTTCCATGTACTTAAACTCCATATCCCTTGAATGAATTAAATACTGAACTACATAAATTTAATAAAAAATTTTCGTACATTCATTCTGTACTCTCAGTTTTTCATTTCAGGCGATTTGTGCCTTAAAAAATTGCACGATTAGATTGAGATAGAACGGTAGCACAGTTTTCCTCACATTGGGTTTGACCAAGAAGAAGATAGAAATGTCATTTCTGGACTACATTAAATTGGATCAAGAAATCCTTGTTGGTGCAGCAAGTCAAGTGCAGCGACTCAAGATGTACCCTTATTTCGATTTGGCACATTATTTACTCGTCAGTCTCTTTTTATTACTTGCAAAATGCTAAACTTCCTGATCTTTTTCTTTTACCATTTTCATGCAAGCAGTATTTTTATGAAAGTCTTTTGAATATTCTGAAACAAACATTCATATATTATCTAAAGTATGCGGCAAGTATTAAAAGAATCTCATTGAATTAATTTTTTTCGTTTTGCTGTGAAGATAAAAAATTCGTTTTATAAGGTGAGTTTTTTGAATTCGATTTATGAAGTAAATTTTATTTGATAAAGTTTTGAGTAATTGAAAATTGAATTTTTTACAGATGACTATATCAGTTCGCGATGATCTAGCTAGTGGAGCTGCACTATTCTCCCGAAAACATCCACTGAGTTGCTGGCTCTCCTCGATGTTAATGTGTTTTGCAGGCAGTATTCTAGCTAACTTTCTTCTTGGTGAACCAGTCATTGCACCTTTCAAGCGACACGATGACATTTTATTGGTTATATTATTTTTTTCCTGAGGGATACCTTGCATTAATTAGTGATTATTGCATTTCAGATCTTTTCGCTACTTCTAAAACTGATAAATTTTTCCAGTACTTTTGCATACTGCTATTTACGATTAATTGCTTAATTTTTTTTACGAATAATTGATGTTCGTTACAACTGTGTATCATAAAATTCCTTTATTACTGGTTATCAACTTTTCACATCTCTTGATGATCACATGGTTGCTTTCAGGCTTCAATTGTTTGGTACTTTGTGTTTTATTCTCCTTTCGACATAGTCTATAAAATATCAAGGCTTTTACCTGTACAAGTTATGTTAAGTGTTATGAAAGAAATACGAAAAGCTTACAAGGTCACCTGTCAACATAGATATATGAACTGTTTACATTTTTGTTTGATTTTTCTTTATTTAGAAAATTCGAGCTCCATTTATTTGAAAAACGATTTTCTTTTTCACTCATACTTTTTGAGACTAAACACAAACTAAAATAGATTCTATGCAGACTGAGTATCATAACTTTTGTTTATGGTTAACAGGTAAATCATGGAGTTTCATATGCTTCAAAATTATATCCCAATTCGTATCTTGTACACATTCTTGTGGGAACTGCTAGGGGAGCTGGTTCAGGAATTTTGCGAACAGTTGAACAGGTGGATTTTAAGCTGATCATCATTGTTATTATCTTCAATAAATTCATTAGATATATCTCCAAATTTTTCTCGATAATTTCTTTAAAAACCTTATGTTTTTTGAAGTCACCTTATATCTGAAATACTATGAAGCACCTTCAGATGTCTAATTTTTTACAAAAATTGTATCGTAAAAGACTTTCTTCTTGGTTATTTTTGTGATATATTCTTGAAATTCCTGGAATTCCCAAGATTTTTTGATCGGCTGCTATTTAACTTAATAATTTTGATTGGTTTTAAAAAACAAAATAAGGATGGTCTAGTTTTCTAATGAACGGGAATTTTCTAATTCTGTATTCAAAATTTAGCTTGTACGAGGTGTATGGATACCCACTCACAATGAAGTGCTTCGACCATCGTTCTCGACCAAAGCGTGTCTCATCGTTTCAATTATTTTTGTAATGGATAAACATTCGCGATATATATCTGCTCCACATGATATCATTTATTTGGTTTGTTAAACATTTATATTCCATTTCTTGTGAGTCATGATTTGTTTCTCTTGGTTTTGCATTTTGCAAATAAAAGTTTATTTTTAAGGAGATTTCTGTTTTCAATTAATGATGTTGAAGATGTGGAAAATGTTGTAAGTTCATATGACTTTTGATATTAAAAGATGTAAATAATCGAATTTTTAAGTTTAATTATGAGCACTTAAAACTTTAATGAGTAGATTATAGTCCTCTTCAGTATTTGCGAGTCGAATTTGAAGTATTACTAGTGTTTTACGTGCTTTAATCAACTTCATATGACATAGACCATCTTTAGCTGTTTTTTGCTTCAATTATTTATATTTGTTTCAAGTATTGAATATTTCAGACCTCACGCTCAAATAATTGTTCAGTATTGTTTGATAACTTTAACTTTTCAGACTGTCGTTGGCTTTTTTGTCTATTTCAAACTAAGCGCCTTGTTGTTGAACGTTCAGGACCCATTTGCACCTTTCGAGAACCTCTTCTGTGCAGTATTTATGGGTGGAATTTGGGATGCTATGTCACGGTTTTATCTTGCTTTTGCAGTGCCTACATCTAATTATTTGTTTGTTCTTAGTTAGAGAGATTTAAACAATGTCACATCTTTTGTGCTGCTGATATTTACATCTTAAGAGATCAGTTTTAGGGCCATTACTGCTAGTCGAGAACGAAGAGCTGTTGGTCAGAAAGCAGAAAACGGGGCTTTACCTACAGAACCAAAGAAAGACTTGTAATAGTGATCATTTTTTTAATATGTGTCGATCGATGCAAATACAGCATCTGAAGAAATACACAAAATCTAACGTTCGGCTGTCGTTTTTTTGTGCACTTTTCTTCTATACTCTTGTTATGAAATTCAAGTATATTTTAGAATTTTTCTTCAATTCAATTATTTTAGATGTTATCAAATCATTGTATAGTGGAAACCTGTATCACTTCTTAAATTCATTTGCTACCTTAAATTGAAACACACTGCAATTAAGTGAAACTTGTACATCGAAGTTGAGTGGATAATATAATTTCCTTGTTTATTTTTTTTACTTTTGTTTAAAAAAAATGCATGTTTTGCTTAATAATTACAATTAAATCACAATTTTTAATGTATAGATGATTATTCAAAATACATTATTTAGAATAAGCAGTCAAAACTGAATTGGTTGATTGGAATTTGTATAGTGTTGAAAGAGATGGCAATATCCAACCAGTTTCATCTCTATTAAAGGACTAACTTTGGACCTCAGAAGTTATTTTTATCATCTTAAATACTAAATTTAATTAAAGTGATTAAGATTTTCATTGTTTGATAATTTCTGTAGGACTTATTTGTGGTCTTCTTTCTCATTCTGTCGATAGTGTAGAAGTTATCGGGTCAAATATCCATATTTGTTAAATGCATTCACGTTTCAATAATCAGTAGTACTAGTTGTAGCCATTTGATATTATTTAAATTTCGCTCTATCTGTTAATTTTTAGATTTGTTAAGTAAACATTTCTTGGAGAGAAACTAATGATTGTCAGAAATAAATAAAAAGTTTTGTGTCTGCAAGTGTCGAAAATACCTCAGGAGCTACAAGAATTTTACAAAATTATGGTAATTCTTGACAGTTGTAACAGGCCCTGTTCCTACTGTTATTTTCATCTAAAGGTTTCAGTAGAAATCGAGAATGGTATGGCTTTAGCTGTAGAACAAATTGTCTTTAGTATAGCTGTAGATACAAACTGCATTGTCTTCACAAATTCTAGTTTCAGAAGCGGTAATTCTGAGACGTATGAGAATCAGTTGGGATGATGGTTTTCATTAAGCATTGTTGAATTTCATTAACATTTAATTTTGATCAGCATATTCACTGTTTGGTATGTGGATAGCATTGCTTTGTCATCACTCATGCATAATTGTAAGTTCTTTTCATGATTATTAGTTTATTTAGCACTTGAGAAGTTGCAAATTTGTATTCTGTGAATCGACTTTGTGGAAAGTTCGTGCATTTGGTTTCTGATATTTTAACTACTTGAATGTATTTTTAGTTATAAGTTCACTATCAACTGTGTTTATTGCTGCATTTATTATTATTTACTGTTGTAGTTATTGTTATTCACACTACTATTGCTTACCGCTACTTTAACACTAAAAAGAACGCATAGTATGGGACGAAATTTCAGCAATTGTTTAGATTTTCACTTGCAAATATGTTGTCTTATGATACAGTGCTGAAGAAGCATGTTTTACTTAGTATATTGTTCGTAATATTATTATCAATCGGTTGTTATTTTCGTGTGTGTAATAATACTCATATTTCTTACTTTACTTTTGTCTATTGTTTCTGTACGTTGCTGCTTTCGTCCATTCGCAGTTAAAGACTTGTATATCGGAACTGCTATCTTAAAAGAACGAACTGAACTGATTATTCTTGATGTTGTCTGCTGTTCTAGTGGTAGATGGAGTTCCTAAATGTAGTCTGAAAAACTTCAGAAATACGTTAATTAACTGATCAGAAAAAGTTTGAGCAGTATTACCTAGTATTTGTGATTGCGTATTCATTATTTCTGTCTATTAATTATAATTGGTCTCTTTATTCATTCTCATTAACATCAAATGTTTGTTAATTTGCAGGACAAAGAAGCCTAGACATTTTATCATATCACTTCTTAGGTGTTACTTTTTGTTTGTTCTTCGTGACATTAATGAATACAATGAATGAACAAGCTATCCATATTTCTCCTTCTGATCAATTTCATGGTTTTCCATCAAGGTTTTTTCGCACTCGTAAAGGTCGTCTATCGAAAATTATTATAATTGAAGTGAACAACAAAAACTTTGGCACCGTTTGGCCCAAACTATTAGATTCAGTGACAAATGCAACGTTTATTTCTATTGATTTGGTTCGTTTTTAATTTTCTTTGTTGTATTTTCTGACATCTTCATTACATCCAGTTGCATTTTAAAGTCTTTATCTATAAATTGACGTTACAAAGCGCTTATTAATATTGTGACATGTGAAAATGATTATTGCTCTGCATGCGATATTTTCTTTTAGTATTTTCATTGGTCTCTAATATTTGGTTCTGTTTTGTTTGTCACAAAAATATAATTATAATATTTACTAAGGAACAGATATTGTTTATGGATAGCTTCTATTTATTTCATAATTGCTTCATTTGGGTCAATGTTCTTGTGTAAATGATTAATAAGTTAACCTATCTCCAGTCATTTTTTTTTAAATGTCGTTAAAATGTAAATTTTTTAAGGAGCTCAGTGGATTAGGGATACCGAAAGGCTGGCATATAAAATCGTTGGAAGAACAATACGGTGTTATACGAAAAAGCGCACAATCTCATTCAGTACTTTCATTCGGTATTTCAACTTTTCGATTAATAAAGCGTAAAGAAACGAAGGCCAAAAAGAACATTGTATTCAAATGTCAGGTTTGAGCTTCTAATTGATTTTGACGAATTTTTAGTCCAGGTGGGATATTTCAAGTAATGTCAGCTAATATTATTGCTTTTCTAACGTCAATAGATAAGCAAATTATGAAACTCTTGTTCAGGTTTTCAATATACTCACGCTACAGTCTCCATCTTTTGTCGTTGAAACCACTGGGTTGCAGTTCTTGTTGAAGCACAAGTTTGATTTCAATCGATTGATTGACCTCGGTATTTCGTATGATAATATCTCTAAAGATGTAAGTTTGCTTGTTCTTATAAACGTTAATTTTGGTTTCCTGATTAATTTTGCTGAGTTTTCTGATGTAATGTTAGTTTCAATGTGGTTTGAGACGTCACGATTATTGAATTTTTTTTTAAGTTCGTAGACTGTTTTAGAATTATCATTTGTAGTTATGATATTTTTCCTTATCACCTTTAATTCAAACAAGATTGCTCTTAAATCGCGAAACATTTGAGTTGTTATAGAAATGCAAAACTTTCAGGAAAATGTGATAAAGATGTTATGGCATCATATATTGTGTGCTTCTGTTCCAGTCGCTTTGCATAATGGTTTTG